TAATAATAATAAAAATACAATCATTTGCACATAAAAATCACCAGCTTGCATCGTCACCTCAGAGAGTCATTTAACTTGCCAAATTCCATCATTGAATCAATTACTCCTTGGCGGCAAGCTATTGTAGAAATGCACAGGTGCTACAACCATAATAAGCTATATAATACAGTCCTTGATGGTTTATCACTAGCCGAAATGTTAAGTCTGCCTGGTAGCAATACCTTCTTTCATTTTATAAATTATTAAAGACTTTTGAGAAACAACAGGAGAGATGCTCAAGAAAGAAAACAAATAAGAAGGATGACCATGGCCTCTGCTTATTTGACCTTACACCTATCACCCAGTTTCAAAAGCAGATATAATATTTCAATTCAAAAAAATGCTATTTTTGATTTGTTTCGTTCAATTGATTTTGCTGGCTTGGGAAGGCATGGAGTGACGATGACAGAATTTGGAAATGATGCCTTAAACTGGTGAAGACTAGCATTTAATATTGATAAAATGAATATTTATTTTAATCTACAATATTTTCTTCACTTATAAAACCTAAGATAAACCCTTTCTTTTTTTTTCAAAGGTAATTACATGGATAAGTGGAGAATATTGGTCAGGTTTGACAACTTAAGATGTTATGAATAAATGCACAACTTTGTGGAATCAGTACATTAATGCTTTACGTAACATCCGTCGTGGATTACCATCATTTACAAGAGGAAACAATAACAATGATAGATATGACCCCATTACCTCGGTTGTAGAAGTCGGCTCATTCATTATGTTAGCAGGGGCTAAGAACCCCTGTTTGCAGTTCTCACAATGTTGCTGCCGTCATAAATCCGAGTTAGCTGTAAAATTAATATATTGCATTATGTAATAGGTAAATTATTTAACTAGTATTAATATTGAAAAATTTAAAAATAAAACACAATGCTAATATAGTACCCCGGATTATTATAATTGAGGTAATATCCGATTTTTTTAAAGTGGCATGATTATATTGGGGTATAGCAGAAAAATTTTACAAGTCGTATCCAAATCAGGTAAACAATTTTTATGTCATATGAAATTTGTGAGTGCTAAGTTGTAATTGATATAGAAAGTTTTGTCCTTTTTCATTTTAAGTACTAAACTATTATTATTGTTGTTTTTCAAATGTTTTTTTGAGTTTATTAAGAATTAGTGTGAAGAACATCAAACAACTAAATTAACATGATTTCTTAGTTCTTTAGATAAAAATATATTGGATAATTTTTTAATGGTTTACATATAAAGTTACATGTCTTATACAGGTAAAACTTTTAATTTTTTGTTACTAAAATGGTAAAGTTTCTAAATTTTACTAATAGCCTCAATTATAATAATCCAACACTAATTAATATTTATACTAGGGTATGGACAATAGAAAAGGTGGAATCTGCCAAAATCATGATTTTGAGCTAATAACACTTTTACATGTAATTTACCACAAAGATTAATTTTAACTTAAAAACCATATCCACTTGATAAAATTTTGAGATATTTTCTGTTAAATTTCTTTAAAAAATAGTAAATCGGCAGAGACGATAGAAACAAGGATAACTATAAACATTCCGGATTTGAATTAATAGCACTTCTATATTAAATATGCAATTCACCATGCGAAATAATTTTAGATTAGAAGCTATGTCCACTTAATAATATCTTGAGATATTTCCTGTTGGTTTAATTTTCTCAAAATCACGATTTTGCAGATTCCCCTTTTTTATTGTCCATGCCCCCCATTTATTTCTTTCGAGTGTAGGGTTTGTAGATCCTAAATTTATAATAAACTTAATTGCCAGTTTAATAAATTTTGTAAATATATCGACTCAGTCTGTATCAATAATACTTGATCAGAGTTAATCATAATGTTAGATAAAACATTACATTAATCTCTGCTTTGAAAATGAAAAAGAATTTAAAACAGAAACTCCTATCAATTGAAAACAAAACACTCATTATAATCATGAACACGTTATTAGGGTTACTATAAAATGAGACCCTTTGTTGCAGTATGCTCCCATATTTGTCACTATTTATAATCAAAAAAATCTTTTTGTATTACGTTTTTTTGCGTTGCAAACAAAATCCTTGTTGATTTTACGACTATATTTTCTTTTTTTTTTTTGATATTAAAAAATAATGATTAACTCGCCAACTTTTAGTTCTGAACAAACCACTGCCGCAATTACTACCACCGTTAACGCCAACGCCAACGCTGACACCGACGCCGCCACTACCATCAATAAAAGATATTCAGCGGTTCACAAACGTGAGCCTTCTGTTCCTCATGAGATTAAGGAAACATTAGATGCTACTGTGACAGAAACCCAAGATGGTGAACGTTGTCTAAATAACTATATTTTGAGAGAGGTTATTGGCCGAGGGGCTTATGGTACTGTAATTCAGGCTATAGAAAAAGACACTAATGCGCATTATGTATGTAAAAAAAACAAATTCACTCACTGAACCGAAAAAGGAATTCTTTCTAAATGGAACAGGATTATTTTTTTTTGAATTATTTGAATTAATAATAAATAGATCGAGATAGTTGAAATTTAATTATTATTTTATTATTATTATTTTTAACAAATATTAATTCATTATATTGTAATAGGCTATAAAAGAATTCAGTAAGGCCAGACTTCGAAAAAGAGATATGGCAAATTATTTTCGTCGTGGCGGCTTTCGAGGTGCTCGTAGGGGTAGGTTTGCCCCTAATCCCAATTTACAAGATAACTCAGATCCATTATACTTAATACGTGGGGAAGTGGCAGTCTTAAAAAAATTAAATCATCCGAATGTTGTAAAGTTGTTTGAGGTTTTAGATGATCCTGAAAATGATTCTCTATACATGGGTATGATAAACTTTAAAATAAAATAAAAAGATTTATCATTTTATCAAAAAAAAACCCCCCTTTATTTAATTTAATATAATTTTGTTTAACAGTATTCGAAATGTGTGATAATGGTAATCTTATGAATATCAGCATTAACAAGCAAGCAAAACCATTTTCCGAAGAAAAAAGTCGACTCTATTTTATAGAAATGATTCTAGGTTTTGAATATTGTAAGCAATTATCGCTTTGAATTAATTATATTATCAATCAAAAAAAAAAAAAAAAAAATCATATATATAGAGATTCTTTGCTGTAATGATTTACCAATGAATTTCGACGGTTACTTGTTGGAATCTTATTTCACTATTTAGTGCACGAAAATGACATCATCCATCGAGGTAATTTTTTGAAATTGGATCATACATATTAACATAATTAAAAATAATTATGCTCCCACACATAATTTGTTTGATTATTGATGATGTATATATAATTTATTTTATTGTTATGTGATTTTGATATTTTCAGATATCAAACCAGATAATCTTCTCTTGTCCAAAGACGATATCCTTAAAATTGTAGATTTTGGTGTATCCGAAATATTTGTTAGGGGAAATGACAAAACGACAAAATCAGCAGGAAGTCCAGCATTCATGGCACCGGTAAATTTTAATAAATATAATTTTATATATATATAATTTTTAATTGTGTTTTTTTTTAATAAAATTATTAATTAATACATCTTTTTTTTTTTTTAATAAAAAAAATCTAGGAATTATGTAAAGGTTGAGATAATTAATTAATAAATCAATTATTATTATTTTTCAATTAAAAGTATTGAAATTTTCTTTTTTCTTTTTTTTTTTTCAGCACATCACGGCGAAATATCAGGAAAGGCGGCTGATATTTGGTCAATGGGAGTAACTTTATATTGTCTAGTGTTTGGCCGTTTACCATTCGAAAAAGACAATATTTTAGAACTTTATGAGTCTATAAAAAATGACGAGTATGTTATTTCATAAGTGTTTAACATTAATATTTTTTTTAATTACCAATAACAATTTTTTTTCATTTGAAAAATTTTGAAGTGTTCAAATCTCTGGAAATATAAATCCTGATCTAGCTGATATTCTTTACAAGTTGCTTGAAAAAGATCCAGACAAAAGAATTACCATGCACGAACTTAGGGTATATTTTTTCTTTAAGTCAAATTTTTTTTATGTATTGTATATATTTTTTTCTTAATAAAATTTTTTTAGGAACATCCTTGGGTTACTCTTCGTGGAGCTGAGCCTCTTATTTCCACTGCAGAAAATTGTACTGAAATGGTTACGGAAATTACTGATGATGAATTAAGTTCTGCTATTAAACCTATTAGTATTAGGAGTTTAGTAACTTTGGTATGAAAATTTTTTTTATATGATTTTTAAATTGCCTCAATTACAAAAGATTCAACACCTTGCGATTCCCTTTTTTAATGATCTTCTTAAACATATCTTTTGTTAGATAACTGCTGTTAAGAAGTTTAAACGCTTGTCGCGGACTCAGAATAATTACCCAGAGGCATTAATACGAATAAATGACGATAAAGAAGCTGTAGCTGCAGAATAAGCCAAATATTTAGTAATCATTTTTTTTTTTCTTAATTGTAATTTTTGGTAGATAATATTATCTTTATTATATAATAATTTTATTTATTAGTTTTTTTTATTTAATAAATTATATTTACTTCCAATAACTTTTTCAGCATCACTAAGATTAATTCAATAATAAAATACTATCAGGGCTTTTTTAATTTTGGTTTGGCTTTTTTTTAAACCCCCTCCCCCAACATTTAAAATCTTCATACATACATATATATGTATTCGTTGCAATAAGCTATCATTTAATTTTTTTTTCTACTAATTGCAATTTTTGTATAAATATTTCGTTTATTAAAAAAAAAATAATTACTATAAATTATTAATATTTTTATAAAAATATTGTCGAAAGAAATATTATGTATGATATTAAAAAAGCAAACCTTAATAATTTATGATAATTCCAGGTAACATTAACCATATGAATAATAATTAATTTAGTTAATTAAATAGATAATTATTATCTTGAGACTGTAGTCATCGTTGTCATAATTATCAACTCTTACGAAGTTCCACCAGAAGCAATAAATTTTTTCAATTCTTCAATATTTTTTTCATAATCAACAGTACGAACATGACTTTTTTGTACCAATTCCAATAGAAATTTAACTCGTTGATCAACAATAGCAGGAACGCGACCACTACCAAACAACCATTTTCCTTCTTGTTTAACAAATAATTGTCCCAAACTTTCAAGCTCTTGTTCATATTTTTTAATTTTATCTGTTTCAAATTCAAAAAGATATTTATATGTTTGAAGTTCCATTGTTGCTGCAAATAATTTGTCGGATATGATTTGTTGAAAAGCTACTTGATAAAGTGGCTTTCCTAATCTTATAAAATCAGGTCGTCCTATATATATCAACATTATCATTATTAAAAGTGTGGAGGTGACATCGTCAATGTTATTAATTATGGAAGAAATCATTATTAATATTGTTATTATGTGGAATATAAATATTTCACAATTTAAAAAAATAAATGTCACCATCTAATTGTGAAACTGAAATCAATTCGGCTTGTTCCATAGCCCTTATTGAGGTATCATCACCTTTAAATATTGATGAATATTTAATTTTATCATATGGTACCTAAAAAAAATATTTAAAAATTAAAAATCGATGATGCACAATTATTGATTATTAAAAAAAAATTTATTAAAAAAAAGTACAGGTTCTCCTTTAGCCAAATCTTTCACTATTTTCCAAAATTGTATACCACTCCAAGGAATAGTTTTGGCATCTTCAACATCATCACCAAAGCCAAGTTTACGAATTTCAATAACAGATTTGAATATAAGTTCATTCAATGCCTCTATATTATATATATGTGTGTGTGTATGGTATTGTTTAGGTAAATAAAAAACAACATTCGATAAAAATAACATTATTATCGCTTATTTAAAATATATATCATTTACCTTGAGAACTTTGACCACTACTTATTTTATTAATAAATAATTTCAAATCAGTTAAACGGCCACCAAGTGCATTTACAGCCCCATCAAGTCCTTTATCTTCTTTATCAGGTACGTGACTCTTTACCAAACTAATGGCTCGTTCATATGGCGCATCAGAAAGATTAACAAAATTAAATGTTTTGTTTGGAAGTGCTTATTGAATATATATATAGTGATTATTTTAACTCAAATGCATGAAAATATAATGATGATGACAACAACTACAACAATGATGATGCAATAAATACCTTTATTTAAATGCTTTACAATACCAACGTTTGAACCAACGAAAACCACATGAGCAACTCTATTTTCTACAAGGATTGCAGCTAATTTAGCCAAATGATCCCAAAGTTCATGATTTTCCTTATCTTTAATCATATAATCATCAATCACAACAATTGGAATATCGGCTGGATCATAAGATTCAACAATTGATGTCGTGATAAAATCATGCTTCTTTTTTTGATTATAACGAGTACTTTTCCTTAACTTTTCAGGTGCTACATCATGTAAAGCAATTGCCAATGCATCGAGAATCTTTTTGATTTCAGAATCAGTCGTTGAAGAAAATCCTGAAATATTGAATTAATAATTATGATGATAATAAGAAATGTATACAATCATATAATATATTTAAATATAGTTATATAAATTACCGGTCTTTTGACCAATCGTTGCACTTGCCAATCCATCAATTAAATTTGACATGGATACCAATGTACTAAATACAGGGAAATAACCAACTTGTTTTGCCAATTTTAATACAAGTTCACTTTCATCACGAGAATTTTGAATTTCATCACACTTTATAAAAAGTTTATTTCTAGAAAAAATTTTTTTGCCTTTACTGGTGGTTCTTTATTTGGTTTAATCTGTATAATAAACCTTGTCGTGATAGAATTTTGAGATATAAATTACACATTTTTCAAAGGGTGCAATTTAAAATGTTTCTATATATATATATATATATATTACTTGATATATTGAAAATATGCAATGTCGCATTTTTTTTTTAATTTTCACTCTTCCTTCCTTATCTGTAAATAAATTGCTCTTTTCATGCTTAATTAACATGACCTTTTTAATTAATATTAATGGTTTTTTTAAAAATGTAAAATGAGGAGACCCTGTGACCACATTTATTTATTTAAACTTTAATGCATTATTATTATTAAATATTTATGCGTGATTCTTACTTACCCCCAATTAACCTATAAAGCTAGTTTGCCACCTTTAATTAATCAAAATAGACATATTTAAATAAATAATTATACAAAAGATAGCCATTTGACATCAAAAAATATGGAATTCTGACACCACCACTCTTCCCATTTGTCAAAATGTATATAGATAGCATTCTGATATAATTATTTTTTTTTGTCACAATTGAATGTTCACATTCAATGATTTCATCACAACTGGGCTTCCAAAGAAAAGTCCCTTTAACATTTGATGCATGTAAAACTTTGTTGAAATTAAACCTCTTGTGAAGATGTAGGATTGTTGGAATAAGGACACGTTTCACATAGTACATCTATGTGATTAACCTTATCATTGTTATAATTAAATATTATTATTATTATTATGGTTAATGTTAATATTATATATATACAAAACAATATTTTGAAAAAATCTATCAGTGTATAATGATTAAAAAAAAAACATTTTCCAATATTCAATTAATTCATTATTAAATCCTTCATCTTGTTTCCTAGCTCTTTTTACTTTCAATTATACCAACCACATCTGTACTTCTTCAATTTAAACAAGTCAAAGGTGATCAAAATAGGATACATGTACAACATTTATAAATTCAAATATTTTAGTTAGTAGTTATTTTATATATGTGATACAAAAGTTTTTGAAAAAATCTAAATTTTAAGCTTAACGGGGGGTGAAATGTATTTAAAAAAAAAATAGGGTGGAGTATTGGGCGAAATTACCAACTGCTGGGTCAAATCCTATAGCAATGTTTTTGCGAAAAATTGACAAATTTGAAAATATTGTATCTAATCAGCCAATTACAGTGCCATATATCAAACTGTGATTTTTTCTGATTGTATGGACAAAAATTTAATTCCCATCAGCCGATTGTCACACAACATAAATATACTTTTGTGATTTCATACCAATAAATTGGGAAACAAACAAGATTGATATTTATTATTTATACTATGAAACCATTTTGATAACAGGCTTTAATTTGCAAAATGGTAACGATCAGCCGTTTTTTTTTTTAAAATTAATGTGCGTGTGTACCTTTGAGTCATGTGCAATGATAAATAAAATGAATGTCTGTGTGTGGGTGTTTGGATTCTAAATTTAATATATATATATTTATACATTAAAACCTTGTCTCTCTATGCATTCTTTATCATGTTCATATAATTAGGGAAATGAAATATATTGGTTATACTGGTAAATTCAAATCACGTAATTTCTTTTTTTAATAAAAATCGAATTTTATCATTCGGAGTAAAAAAAAGAAAAAATTGAAAAGTAAAAATAGATAAGTAATAGTAGCACACACCACCAACAGGTTATTTTGGTCGGTCATAAAATAAATAAATAATAATAAGCTAAACTAAAAAGGCCGCAAAAAGATTCTAGATTAAATTTCTGATTTTTATTATATATTGATTAGCAAACAATATGTAGTGGTGATATTGGTGTTAACAAATGGTAATAAAAAATTCATTCAATCAATCAATTAAATAAATTGGTGATTGAAACAGTTAGATCAAAAAGCGAAAAAAAATAAACTTGCCAATCTCTTTTATTTATTTATCATGAGTAATAATATTTAACGGGCAACTATTATGATTTGTAATAAAAAATCATATTTATCTATCTATCTCTCGTTCGTTATTATTAAACATCACTAACTCGTTAACCATAAACGGTAAACAATTACTTTTTTTTTTCTTTGCTGAAAACTTCTCAAGCAAAAAAAAAAATAAATTTAATTTTTCATGTAATACGTACGTAATGTATTTTTATACCCAATCGGGGGAATGGGTTGTTGATAAATTGTCTCCTCCCCGCTCCTTTTGTTTCTCCCTGTCTACTACATATATATATACAAATATATGTTTATGTATTTAAAGCATGTATGTACATGTATGTATGCATGTATGTATATACATGTAAATGCATTAATATTATTTATCAAGACATTATTATAACCGTCAGTTACATATTTACTATTTAATATGAAGATCTAGAATCTTTTTGTTTGTTTACGTGGCTTTAATAATGAAAGTTTTATTTCGGAAGTTTGTGTAACTTACATTACTTAACAAATACACTTCAATCAATCAATCAGTCCAAATTATATTAATGTACGCTATACGTATGTGTGTGCGTGTGAGTAAAAAATAATGGGTGTTTGTTTGATTTGGTTTCAGCAGGAACAGATGATGATGGTATTTTCTTTTTTGATAAGTTTGAAAATTTTGGAAAGTTGTTTTCGCATTTTCCACCATTCTAGAGGGCTCATTATTTTCTTGTGGAATTTCTAAATAAAAACTCAATTCACTATTTGCATCTTGATTATTAAAATTTTCATTTTCACACTCGTCATCATCAAAAAAATGAGGAAACCACTTTTTTGAACTTTTTATGTATAAAGATTTACTGATATAATAATGATTACTATTACCTTGTGATAACAAACGAAACTCAATGCTATGGAGCAGGAAAAGGCTTTCATTAAATCTATTTTGGAGAATTTATTTTTAAAAATTAAATGTCCTGCGAAAATATCAACATTTTCTTTTTGAAACATCTAATCCCCCCTTCTGGCAAAGTTTTATAGAGAATAAAACTTTTTTTAGGGTTGCTCATCCACTTTGCTTTTTGTTCACCCGAGTTCACAATAATAACTACATTGAACTCAAGATCTTTTTCTTTTTGATACTGGTGTTGTCAAAACTCAGGAGGTTGCTAATGGATCTTTTGCTGAATTTATTTTATTGAAAATTAGGAAAGCAGATATTTATGAACATAAAGTTTTTATGAATGTACTAAAATAATATATTATGGTAATAAAATAAATCCAAGCACTTGAAAATAATCAAGAATTAGTAGTACAATTAAAAAAAGAAAGCCAAAGAATTGAAAGGAATATTAGTTAAAAAATTTGACTATATCACTACTAAAGATAAAGTTTTTATCCGTTTTTTGTTTAGCCATTTGAGGAATTGTGTTGAGAGTTAGTTGATTGCTGCTATAGAAAAAGAAGACTTGGCCAAGGAAAAAAGAAAGAGTTGAAGAGAATTGAGAAAATCATTGCTGAAATAAAGCATCACAAGCCAACTGATGAAGAAATAGGAACAGATAAAGATAATTGAAAAGAACCAATTGAGAAATGGGAAAAGTAGTGACACAATAATCAAAATTATTGAAGGCTGAAAGCAACAAGCTGAGAATGCTGTGAAATGCACTTGAATGCTTTGAAAACAGGTAAAGAATGGAGGGAGAAAGACAATTATCTGAAAAATTAGAGCAATTAGAGACAGCCAAGAATCAAGAAATAAATCAACAAGCCCAAGAAATTCAGCAACTAAAGCAAGAGTAATCATTAACAAGGAAAAATAACAAGCTACAAAGAATTACAACTAGAAAATCTATCTTTAATTTTTTAGTAAATTATTTTTCTTTAAATTTTCTTTTTCTTTCTAGGTTCTTTATGGTTCTGTGTTAATTTTCTTTTATTGGTTATAATTTTTCTTTCTTCCTGATAAATTTCATAGGCAATCCTTTCTTTCCTTGGATAAGCTTCAAAGGAGCAATCTTTTCTTCTTCAAAATACTTGACACTTAAAAAATAAAAAAGTAACAGAATTGTTAAATCATAATCATGATAAATGTTTTTGAGCTTGGATATGGCAAGGTTATACATATAATCAGGAAGATCATAATTGGAATAATCAATTAAATTCTCAATAAGATTGTGCATGCTGCGTTGCAAAAAATTTCAGGTTCAAGATTAATCATCACCAACATAACATGCTGAGATAAAACAAGAGTAAATTATTTAAAAAGCCAAGACTTTGAAAGGGCAAGCAACAGAGTTCCATGGTAGATTTTGTGTAAATTAATTTATATTTATATTTTTGGTATATATATATTCATTTAAGAAAGTTAAGGAAAAGAAAAGAATCCTTATCTTGTGTGTGTGTGCGCATATACATATACATATATATATATATATATACACTCTCTCAGTTTATTACTAAAATTGTATTAGTGATACAGTTATTGCATATTTAATATTAAAACATACCAACAACACTTTATACCATCCAAGATTATTTTGGGCGTATGTTGTACATGTATGAGT